CCTCACTGTGCTAGTGAGACCACTGTTTGAATGCTGTCTTCCCTAAGGAAAACCAAAGGAGAATGGTGAGAGTAGTTAAAAGCTTTTAGAAGGCAGCCTGTCAGGATAGTTAAAATTTGAAAACTGATAGAAAATGACATGTAAAAGACTCTTCAGATAGCACAAGGTGGTGGGACTTAAATTGCAGCACAGGAGATGGGCAGTTAGATCTTCTGCTGTGTAATCAAGAGAGATTTGCTCTGGTCCAGAGGTCGGGAGGCTGCAGGATCTCTTGGTACAGAGCAGGTTGAACATACTACCCCAGTAGTGCCTGAGGTACAGCCAGCGCTGCCCTCAGGTGTGCGGGGGAGTGCAACCTGGAAAAACAGGACCATGAGCACTAGGCCTTTCTGTGATTCTGTTGGTGTGCAGAGATCGCTGTTGAAATAGTGCTCCTTCGTGGGAAAAGCCTTGGGTGCCTTCAGGTCACTTCTGCGAAGAAGCTGCAAAACTACATTCCTACGCTTGCCAAAGTCTAGCAATTATTTGCATGCCAGTATTATGGAAGTAGGTATCTGAAATTATTCTTAAAACCTTGAATTACCAGTTTTTGAAAACACCACGACCTTCAGTTGTGGCTTTTGGAAGGAGCACTGTATGCTTATCACCTTCAGCGTGCTCTCAGCAGGCCAGCTCATTGGCTGGGGGATGTAAATGCAGCCCCGGCAGTTTCATACATCCTTCTGCTCCTCTGTGCCCTCGCCTCTCCCGAGCAGGGCTGGGACCTGCTCTGGCATGCTGTTCAGAGCAGAGCTTGCTAGTGCTGCTGCAGTCCCATCCTCTTCCCTGTGCAGTCCCACCTCCTCCTTCAGGACAGTAAGCTGGGAAGGTGATTTTTTTTATAGCTGCTGGCTTACTCTGAGACCATTTTAGCTCCCTGAAGTGGCTCACCCCATCAAGTGTGTGCCAGCGTGGGTGCCTGTTCAAGGCAGGTTTGTGGTAGGACTGTGGCAGTGTTTGCTTAAAGTTGTGTAAAGTATAATGGAAACCTCCTCTTAGGCTTTAGTCATTGTTGGGATCTTGGTTCTTTGTATAAAACAAGGGGCAAGTTGTCCTGGGGTGGCTCTGCTTGCAGAGCTGCTCATTGGCTGGAAATTGTGAAGTTTCTGGAGGCAACAGGGAAATCTGGAAGTGGTTTCTTTAAACTCCTGTTCTTTCCCCGCCCTCATGTCCTTGCAAGTGCACTAAACCCCAGTAAGATATAATTGCATTACTCTTTAACCATCTACGACAATAGTGAGCACCATCAAGACCAGTGTCATAACCTGAAGGGTCTGTAGTTAACAAGCTGGGCTGTGAGCATGGTTTAAGGTTGGGGCTTCATGTGTTGGAGCATTAGATGTGCTGGGAGGGCGTTCCTACTCTCTGCAGCGGCTCCACTTGATCCTTTGTTTTCATTGGCACCTGGTTCAGCTTGGCTATGACATCCAACTTTGCCCCATGTTTCCACTTGAATGGCTTTGCCATGGTGCCAGCTGACATAGCCATCTCCTCTTGCCATCACCGGTTCTGCTTGCTGTGGTATCGGTGGTGGAATGAACCAGATGGGGATCTCAGCCCACCCTGCAAAAAAGGATTTCTTTCCTTCCAGCCAAATCAGTTTTCCCCATCTGGTTAATCACTCAGCCGTGGGGAAAGCTGTGCCAGTACCGAGAGGGTGTGATGGGAAGGTGGGAATGAGTTCCTAGAGGGGTGTGGGAGGATGAACATTGGTTTTCTCGCAGCTTTCCTGCTACTTATGAAACCACAGGCTGGGCAACTGCAACTTCTTGTGCGGTGGTGTCTTTCTATATATTCCAGCTCTTCAGATTCAGTGTCTCTTCCTCTGTGTGATCTGTGCTGCTTTATCCTTGAAATTCCTTCTTCAAGTGTGCATGCTGCTGTATGTCCTGTGTATGGTAGGTCTGTGGTGTGGAGAACCTGTGTCCATATCAGCTGGCTCATCCCAGCTCCCTGAAAACTGTGCTGCTCTGGCCTGTGGTTGGGTCCCTCTTCCAGAGGATGATGTCCTTTTTCTTTAGGAAATGTTCAGTCACTGCAGGTGTCCTCAGAGTTGTGGTGTGGTCTCCAAGAGCGACAATTAAGCACTCTGCTGCAATGCCTTCCAACGTGGTTTACTACCTGCTACTATATTTGAATTTAGAGAAGCAGAAACTTGAACAGGCACAAGAACAAGTCGGGTTCCAGAGAATTGGACCTTACTTGTGGCAGAAGCACAGCGCTGCTTTAACGTAGTCCTGGCACTTGTCCTAAACCCACCCTGTTCACATGTGTTTGTAAGCTGTAGCCAGTTCCTGTATTCTTCACAAGAATTTAATTGAATAAGCATTTACTGCAACGTAGAAATTATGTCCAAGCCATTGCTGCCAAACAGTGTATTTGATATCAAACTGCTTTTTAGATAAGTTTCAATAAAATTCTTACTAAGTGGTTTTATAGACCATTACTTTTGGCCAATTCATGAGCTCTCATACCAACATGTTTTCAGATGAATTGCCTTTGTTATCCTACTAATACAATTAATGTATCTTCTCATGGTTACCTCGTCCTGCATTTTGTTTCTGTGAGAGACAGAACAGCATTAAATATATAGAAACAGCTTTTACCTAGAAACCTAATGGGCTTTCCAGTGCCCTGGATACGTTTCTCAGAAACCATAAAGGCTTTCAAGGTATTTTTCTTGCCTTCTTACGTAGGAAGCATTCAGACTGTGCTAATCAGGAGGGAATAAAACAGTGAAATGCCTTGTTGAGGGCAGGATGTCACCAGGGGATGAAAGGCATTTCACAGCATGCCCTGTGCTGGCATCTGAGCTGTGGCACAAGGCAGGGCAAAGCTGGACCAGCAAAAAAAACCCAAACAACAAAACCAACAACAAAGGGGTGACTGGGAGAGAAGGCTAATTAGTGAGTTCATGGGATTTATCACTAAGTGTCAGAGGTAGGATGAGGAAGAGAAGGTGGCCATCCTTCACCCTCCTGCAGTCACTTCACTGGAGCTGCTGCCTGGCTTGCCTTCTGCTGCAGGACCATTCAGCTGCACCTTCAAGCTTTTTCATTTAAAGCAGTCAGAAATGTTATACGTATGCTAGTGTGGATCAGCCTCCTCTTATTCTCTCTTTGTTTTTTTTAAATTCTCAACTTTAACTTTTCTTTCTCTCCAGCAGTGTGGGCACTTGGAGCATGGGTGTAAAGCTGAATGCAGGTTAGGTGAATACTCCTGCTTTGTACCTTGCAGAGTTGTACTTCAGTGTATGACAGCATGTAGGCTTTTCAGGGCAAGGATGTGTTTTCAGTACTACATCGAGTACTTAATCTATTGTATCATGTCTGTAGTGTGAGAAAGCCTCAGGATCAGCCTGCCGGGAAGGTGCTGTTGACTGAAGCCAGGTGATGCGAAGCCTTAACTTCCTTATGTCCTCTCAAGCTGAGCTTCTCGAGTGCCTGAGAGATTTTATTCTTCAGTGGGAAACAAGCAGCCATGTCTGTGCTGTTTCTGCCTGTTTAACTGTCGGTGTTGGTATAAAAGGGTTGGTTGTTGGTATGTGTTGTAAACATCGTTGGTTACCAAAATTAGTGCCTTGCCTCCTGCTTCTTAAAAATAATGGGACATTGGGCTCGTCTGGCAGCTCGGGAACATCTGGTGCTGTCAGAGCAATCTGTCTGCTGAGATGCTATGCAGACAATGCCCTGTCCAGAGTAAGATTTAAAAATATTGGCTAATAAGCTTTAGAACAACTTCAACAGTAGGTGCTTAGCAAAAGAGTTGGAAGGTGACTTTGGAAATACATTTCTCTTTGTGACTTTTTAAAAAATATGATGTTATAAAAGGAAGTTTAATCTAATCTTGAATTTTGAGGGCAACCCAAAGTAGGAAGAGCTGGAATCAATGTATTAAGTCAGAAGTGGTATGAACTGTTTTTATGGACCTGTGAATATTTTAAATCTGTTTTTTATAGTTCTGGTTATCCCTTTGTTGTGCCATACAGCATCACAGTGTTCATCTAGTGATTTGTTGTAGTTCATTTTTATTTTTATTTTTTTTTCTTTAGACTACTGGTTTCAAAAGCAGAGCTATTTTGGTAGTTTCACAAAACTTTTCCCACAGTCATCTTTGCTGTTCAATTGGGATGTCAATATAAAACTGTAACAGGAAGGAAAGGCTCAGTGACAGCTTTTAAAAGATCTCTTCATGCAAATCTGCTTTTCCCTCCTATGTAAATGTTAAGGGGAAGTGTAAGAGATACATAAGCTGTTAAATATGAACTAACTGGATTTTCTGGCTTTATAAGGCTTATATTCACTGTTTCACCTTTGTACTTCCAAAAGGCGAATTGGATGAACGGGTAGGTTGAATGAGTTGAATTAAAACCTGGCTTCTGGTTTGACAAAGCTTTTGGGGTAGTGAGTCATGGTGGAGCTGAGAAAACTGTCAGCTTTCAGGTGCTGGTGGAGTCAAGGTGTTCCCTTCTGCTCCCCCACAGCTTTGGGCTGTGTCTCAGAGCTGGTCTAGGAGCGCAGGAGAGCCGACCCTGGGGAAAGGCAGCAGAAATTGTGAAGGGGTTGTTTGCTTATCTGCCAGCTTCCTGGGAAAGGTGCTCCCGTTACCTGTGATGTCCATCTTCATTGCTCAGGAACCACTGATGAGTAGACCAAATATCGCCTATCTTGTCATTGCTTTGGTAAAATATTGTGGCTTTTGGTGTGGTTTTGTTTGGTTTTATTTTTATTTTCTAACCAAAACATACAAGTAATGTCTGTATATTGTCATAACAAGAATTTTTTTTTTTAAACTATCACCAGTTGAACTGAAACTGATGTTTCCAGAGACAGTATAACTTTAACTTATACCGAATTGTTGTGTTGCATGTTTAATAGCCTCTATTTTAATTTATTTTTAAAATACATTCAACAGCATTAATAAAAAAAGAATAGTTGTATTCATATAGCTCTTTTCTTCTTCTAGAAATGACTGCTGTTACTGCAGGCAACGTTAACTTCAAATGGGACCCCAAAAGCTTGGAGATAAGAACACTGGCGGTTGAAAGACTACTTGAGCCTCTTGTTACACAGGTACAGAAAAAAAGGGGGTGAAAAAAACCTTCATGAGGATGGTTACCTGTTTGGATGTAGTATTTCAATTAAGTAACTTTCAAAACTTAAATTCCAGAAGTAAAAGGACTACAAAACTAAAGATGGAAAAAAGTGTACAAATAATTTCTTTTTTCGGTTTTGTTATAACAGAATTATTGGGCAAGATTCTAGAATGAAATTGCTTCTTTAGCGTCTGATAAGACACAGTGTTTCAATTAGAAGTGCAGAAATGCATGTTAGTAACTAATGTTCCATGGCTGTTGTGCTGTTTCTCACCTGTATTTTGGGTGGTATGCTGCTTATTTGTTGTATCTTTAAAAAGCTGTGCTATGTAGCATTTAGAAACTGTTATTCAGGAACAACAGAAGTCCCTTGCAATGAAGCCATTACTGCTTACCAGAAGTAAGATCTTGTAAGTTTTCTTTGGTGGATCTCATTAAATTTTCTTGGAGGTTACCTATGTTTAGAGTTCCCTTTGGAAGGAAGTTCAGGTAAATGGTGAAATGTGGTGGAGGATGTTTGCAACCTGTCTAGCACTGCTTTATGTTATAAATAGATTAGCGACCCCTGCTAACAGAGTTCCACCCAAGAAGTATGCTTTTATGGCATTTGTTACTGTTTCAGTATATCTTTTACAAGATATGTATGCTCTCTTTTAATTTTTGCCTATGCTGTATGCTGAATTGGTGAATAAAAGCTTATTTCTGCGTGGTGTGTATTGCCCAGTGAAACGCACTGAAGAATATAGGAAAGCTAGAGTAAGTCTTGTAAATGTCAGCTGTGTGTACTGGGCATTTTGGAGATCCTTGGAAGTGACTTTCTAGGAGGTGTGGAAGAGACGGTGATCTGGAGACAGTTAACTCACCTTCTTTAGCATTGTTTTCCTGAATATGAAATTTTAAAAATGACAGTATGAACTGAATGTAACGCCTGCTAAAGCACAAACTGCCACGATCAAGTTCCGTTTCCAGTATTAACATCCCTTTAATCGCCACACAGCTGTCTGTACCTGCCATTTGTTCCCTCCAGATACTCAGATGGATGATCTAGTCTTTAGACAGATTTACTGATGGAGTGTTTCCTTAAGAGAAGTTGTCCAATTGAACTGAGCGAAATTGTTTATAGGACCTTTGATCCAAGTTCAGTGTCTGTAACTTTTTCTTCAAGTAGCACAATAGGTGGTACTGGCAATCCCAAATTTTGTGAATGATGTGACTGGCAAAATACAGAGGGGAAAGTAAAGTTTATTCCCTTGTTGCAACTTGCTCTTTATTTGTAATAAAAGATGAACTGAGAATACCCAATACAAATGCTCCCCATTTACCAACAGCGATATTCCCAGCTGATGGCTTTCCCTCTCTGAATCAGCCTACTGAGAAGATGGATTTGGCTCTGAGGACCTTTATGTCAGCAGTCCTTGGGCTTTCCAGACTAGTAATATTTTCAGTATCGTAATTTAATGTCCCTCTGAAGTAGTGTTTTATATGTTTTCCTAGACTTAACAAAAAGAAGAGAGGGGGGTGAAAAAGGCAAATGGAAAAGTGTGCCTGGATTTTGTGACATCTATCTGCATTTGATTGAAGGTGATGGATCCTGATCCTCAGCTAATGGAGTACCTGGTGGTTACCTGAACACTGGTGACCAGCTCCTAGTAGAAGGATTTCAGTCTAAAACATAAAAGTTGGAAATATTTGTTGATTGCAGGAGGACTGTGAGAGTTCAGTTTTAGTTGGTTTAGGGAAATAGGAGCTCTAGGAGGTCCTTTGCTCTGCGTTTAGTCCATTGGCTGTAGTACTGTATTGGGCTGAAAAGATATTGTGTTGCTAGATTCTGTAGATAATGGCTTCAACCTTATTTGGGGTCTTTGATGCCTGGAGAGCTATCCCAAACTAATTATCCTTAACTTGGTTTCTTTTTATGTGGTGCCAAATAGCCCTGGGCCGTTACTGAGATTGCAGTTTATCAAAAATACAAATAGATCTCAATTCTTGAAATCAAATTTTCAGGTCTGCTGCTGATAAGAAAAAAATCTATAAGCAGTTTAGCTGAATTTATAATGCTCATCTAAGGAATCAAGAACCATGGTAATGTTTAAAGAGACGTGAAAAACAAGTGTTTGTGAGTTTAACCTTTGGAGCTGGCAATAGTACAGGTATTAGCCATATGCTGTCTAGAAAAAAATACATGTGACCTTGCTGTCAAATTGATAAACTTCTAATTTGTTTAATGTTTTTTGTTATTTCTCCTCCATCTATGCCTTTAGGTAACAACACTGGTTAACACGAGCAACAAGGGCCCCTCTAATAAAAAGCGAGGGCGTTCTAAAAAGGCCCACGTTTTGGCTGCTTCAGTTGAACAAGCAACAGAGAATTTCCTGGAGAAAGGAGATAAAATTGCAAAAGAGAGCCAGTTCCTTAAAGAGGAGCTGGTAGCAGCTGTGGAAGATGTTCGTAAGCAAGGTAAAAACTGTGTATCTGATAGCTTGTAAAGTGATGGTTTTTCAAAGTCAGTGGAACAAACTGTTTCCATTTTCCTTTTGCTGTTATTTCTAATGACTCTGTGCCTCTCCACTTGTGTAGATCCTCGGCTTGTCTTGCTTGCTTCCCTGAGCAATAATATGAACTGGGCAGATCTGGAAACTGGATGTCCCACGTAGAGTTTGAGAAGAGAAACAGAAGGGCTGATTCTTTGAGAAGCATTTAGAACTCTCTTAGAACATTTAGAACACTTAGTTTAGGCTAAAAAGTAAACTTCCTCTCTGCCTATAAATGTTGTATAACTACGTCTCAAATATGTCATAGAATCATAGAATTGTTGAATGTTGTGAGTTGGAAGGGACCCACAAGGATCATGGAGTCCAACTCCTGTCCCTGCACAGGACAATCCCAACATTCAGACCATGTGTCTGAGGGCCTTGGCCGAATGCTTCTGGAATCTTGTCAGGCTTGGTGCCATGACCACCTCCCTGGAGAGCCTGTTCCAGTGCTCTACCACCCTCTGCCTGAAGAACCTTTTCCTTATGGCCAACCTCACCCTCCCCTGGCACATCTTCCTGCCATTTCCTCTGCTCCTGGCGTTGGTGGCCAGAGAGAAGAGATCAGCACCTGCCCCTCCTCTTCCCCTTGTGAGGAAGTTCTAGACCGCGATGAGACCTCCTCTCGGTCTCCTCTTCTCCAGGCTCAACAAACCAAGCATGTTCAGCCTCTCCTCATATGGCTTCCCCTCTAAACCCTTCACCAATTTTTTGACCCTCCTCTGGACACTCTCTTTAGCTTTATATCCTTTTTATCCTGTGGTGCACAAAACTGCCCCCAGTACTGGAGGTGAGGCCGCACCAGTGCAGAGCAGAGCGACACAATCACCTCCCTCAACCAGCTCGCCATGCAGTACTTGATGCACCCCAGGTCATGGTTGTCCCTCTTGGCTGCCAGGACACACTGTTGGTGCATGTTCAACTTGCCATCAACCAGAACCTCCAGGTCCCTCTCTGCAGGGCTGCTCTCCAGCCTCTCATTCCCCAGTCTGGATGTGTATCCAGGGTTGTCAATAACTTCTTCAATATTTGAATGTATACAAAACAGCATTGTAGGAGGAAGAGCTGAGTGTTGACTTGCCAGAGCCGAGTGTCTCAAATATGCAAAATGTAAACAGCAACAAACAGAATGTGAGGACCTTGATTAAATATTCCAGGCTTCCTCCCCCACATCTAGTGTTGGTTTTTATAATTTTCTTTTTTTATATTCTGGGAGAAGACCTGCAAGAAAAGCCTATGGAGCTGGCTTACTCTAAAATATGCACTAGTAAATATTGTTGCTCATAAATCATTTATCATTCTTCCAGTCATGAGCCTTTTCTATGCTTCAGTGAAACTCAGTCAACTGGTATTAATGGTGGCGGCTGCTACTGCAAAAGAAGGAAAACTCATTAGCATTAATTACTTGTTTGTTGCACAGTGATGAAATATTAGTTGAAAATGGTTCTAAGTTCTGGGTGAGCCTGGTTGACAGACCAAAGGAAGATCAACATGAGAAGACTGCAATGTAAGGGGCTAATAGAGTTGGCTTAATTTAACAACAACAAACAGCAAAAGAGACCCTTTTGTCTTGAAGCCTTTAATTCTTGGTGCTTGCTTGATTGCTGCTCAGAATTGAGAGTCAGAGCTCTTCTGGGAGTGCTTTCAAGTGACTCTTGGTGGTATTAGTGAGCAAGGGAGCTGTACTCAGTCCTTGGGATTGACAAGTTCTGTTAGCTGAATTTGTAGTTGCATATTACAGTGAGAAGCTGGCAGGAAGGAGAGACTGATATAAAAACCTACAGGGTGACCCTTTCCCTTGTTTCTTGGCCCCTACTTGATTTTGAGGCTATATGTAAACTTGATGCCAAAACCTCCCTGCTCTGTTGATCTTTGACAGAGGAGGTAGAGTTCATAGCTGAGAGGTGCTGCAGTGAAATAACTTCCCACCTTAATGTTTTTTTGCTTCTTCCTCCCTTTTCACTGTTTGCAGCTTGAATGAAACCTGGTGCAGAGAGAGGACAGCTGTATCTGTTTTCTGAAGCTGGGCGGAAGATGACTAGACTTGAGTGATTCTCCTGAACACAACTCATGCCCAGTGCCGTTTGTGAGGATGCAGTCGCAGCATGACCAGGCATAAAAGCTTATACCCTGTCATGGTGCCAGTATTTGGTCAGGTTTAGCAGAGCAGCTCTTCGTAAGGAAATTAAAAAAAACAAACAAACCTTTGAGGAAATTAGAAGCAAATGGTGAAAAATGAGATACAACAGAGGGAAGGCTTATTGCTGCCAATGCCTGAGGAGGGTTGCAGTTCTTAGTAGTGCTAATAACAGCAAGGAGATACAAACTCTCAACATAGGTGTTTATATACAGTCCTCGACTTCAGAAGTGTTTCCAGTATTGTGGTAGACCGGTTGAATTAATGAACTGGAGGAATAAGGGAACTGTAATCCAAAGCCTGCGTGTGTGCTTAGCAGAATTCCCAGGTGTTGGTGCCTTTATCTGCCTTTTGCAATGGGGGGAAAAAGTGGAGAGGAGAATCTCGGTGTCTTGGTCAGCAGTGGGGTGATCAGGAGCTGGCAGCATCTGTGTGTCTGACAGCAGCAGTGGGATTATAGATGTATAGCACAATTTATCTTCAACAGAAGACAGGAAAATAGAATTAATAATGCCTCTATTTAGAGTAGGGAGCGGTTTAGTTACCATAATAAAAAAAGATGAATGAATGTAGACAGAGGTTATGAAGATGATTAGGACAATAGATAACTTGTCTCATCAGAGAAAATTAAAAATTTTTTTTTTTTAGCCTAGCAAGAAGAAGATTGAGAGAGTACATGATTTTAGTGAGCACGCTTGTTCATAAAATCCCATTTGTTTGGGGTAAAAACAAAGAAGTGAAAAGAGCTATTTAGAATGAATGATAGTATGGCTACATACTAAATCAATATAAGTGGATCTTCAAAGTCTTCCTGATTTTTTACAATGGAAGAATAAATTACAACTTGCTTTAAATATTAAACAAGTTAATGAAATATCCTAAAGTAAGATTCTTGGCCCTTCAAAGCTTCGGACTTTTAACTTTTTTTAAAGTGTCGAAACTTCTTAAAATAAAATTTTGAACAGTATAGTGGAGACAAAGAACCAAAATGTTTTTCAGAGTAGATCCTGCTGCGGTTATAGAAAAGACATAGTATTGGGAAAACGTCTGATGTGAACGTCTCAGATTTCAGCATCCTCACAGCATTTGTGACATTAATTTCTGCCGTTGGAGTTTTGCTGGGTAATAGAAGGGGCAATATTGATCTTGCCCAATCTTACTCCCCTACTGTAAGCTCTTTGTAGGGTTTTACCTTCTTAAGAAGCACTGGAGACTGATTTTGCATTGAAATGGTTGGCTCTCCTGGTGCGGTTGGGAGGTGATTTGGAACTGAACTGGTTTCTTACCCAGTACCTGGCACTGAGACAGGTTGCGAACTCCAGTGTCAAGAAAGAAATTTATTTTGGATCAGACTGACCAGGCTATTCCTGATCTCCTGGACTACTGATGACCATAGTGCACTGCCTCTGTATATCCGTACACTAGTCTGGGGATCCAGGGTATTAGCTATGCTCTTACAGTTGTGTTTCTTCCTATGATAAGCTTTAATTTTTGGTTTCCTATGTAAAATTAAAATTAAAAGCTTAAGCCTGTGTATAGGGTTTGAGGTAAGAGAATTGATGAATGGTCTCATGAATCCTGTGGACTTCGATCAAGTTTCATGGTTGCAAATGCAGAGGAGTGAACCTATTGATTCAGTGGGGTGTCTTTCCACCCTGTATTTCTGAGTGAAACTTTCTCCAGAACTGAACAGTGAGGCAAATTATGAAAGGGTAAAATGTTGTGTTTGTTTTGTTTTGTTTTTTTTAACTGTACTTGACACAAGATGCATGGCTTAAGGATTTCCAAGGAACAGGAGGAGGCCAGTTGCAGAATAACTTGAAGTTAAACACTGAAGTTTTCTTGGAAAACTCAACTTTAAAATTCTGTTGTGACCAATTAGCTTAATTTCTTGGAAGAGTGCAAAGAGTTCTCAGTTGTTTTCCTGCAAGAGAAATGTTTTAGGAGTGTACCACTTGTATTAGAAGTAATCTTCCAGCCAAGGACTCGAGATCTTTGAAAAGCCGTAACCTAAGGGAGCTCTGAGACGGCTCTTGGCAAACTATAGGAGGAGTGTTATAGGCAGTATACAAATTTAATTGAAGACAAGATTAAGGAATTAACAGAAGCGTTTGTTGACATAAGTATCTGCTCCCATGTTGATATGGCAAAAGGAGATACGAGGCTTTGTCCTTTACAGTAGAAAGCAAGGGCAGCCAGTTGTGAACACTCATGGTGGACATTGAAGGTGGCATTAATGGTAAGATGGGACTTCAGTATCCAGATTAGTAGAGTCTTGAAACTCTGATTTCATACTTGCCCTCATTTGGAGGGAAACAGGCAACATCTAGGAAGCTGTGATGGGGTGTTATGAGCAGGTAGAGGTACGGCTTGCTGGCACTCTGTTTCTAGTACTGTCAGCAAAGCAGCCTGCAGATGGGCTGTGAACTGGAAGGTGCTGAAGGGTGCAAGGTGATGTGTAAGCACCAATTTCTAGCTTGGGAAAAAAGCATCGGTGCCTGCCTGTGTCCCAGGTCTTCCCTGCCTTGCCTGTTTTCTCTGCTGCTTTCCTGTTCCATCAGCATTTGTATAAAGAAAGCTCTGTCGTGGTCATCGTGTACTGCGCTGCTGAGGAGGATTAATAGTGCTGTCTGAAAGTGCTGTCAGACCCTGTGGGCATGGTGGGAATGAGACTAGAAAATGGTAATTTTCTTTTGATGGACTAAAATCTTACTATTTCTGAAATGGGCTTTGTTCCATTAGATTTAATTGAATTCTTAGTGCTTTATTGACAAGATTGTTGTATGACTACCATTGCCTCTTCTTTTCTCTACTCTTGTTTTATCTTTCCCTTGTAATATCTAGTGGAAATCTAAGGTTATATTGGGAAAACAGATTACTCATATAAAAATTCCTACTAGCTGTATAATCTGAGTCTCACAGTCTGACTCTTCTGCAGTGTATTTTTTTTAACTCTTGGAATCCTGCTTTCAAACTTGCTGTGTTACCTCTGGTTCAAATTTGAAAATGAGAAGATTATGCGGGATCCAATTTGAGCTGCTAATGCACACACGTAGTGCAGTAACTGCAGTAACTCTGCCAGGGCAGAGTTCCCTCTTACCCTTTGAATCTAGCTAAAGTAACTGCCCCATGTTGCTTTTTCATTGTAGAAGTCTGAAAGCCAGCTTTCTTTAATTTGCAGAAAAGTACATATATGCAGCAAGTTTACATATAATATTCCTTTAATTCTGGGAAACTGATTATCTTTTGACACCCTGACAAGCGGTTTGAAGCTCATTAATTCTTTTAAAATCTCTCATTAAAATAAAAAGGAATAGCATTTTATTTCAGGAGTGGCTTGTAAGGTTGCAATTTAAGAGAAAAGTAGAGGATAATTTTGGTTTTGAACATTTTTAGCAGTTTCCGAGATTCAGAAGAAGTGAGTGGTCACCCTTTAAGTTGTTTTAAACTGGAAATAAATGAAAACATCATTCATCACTTTTGGGAGTTGGAAATATGGGAATTTTACATATAAGTAAGGGAGGAAATACTTGTAATGAAGTTTGGTTCTGGCGTATATCCTTAAATCCTGAGGTTGTTAATAGATTTCATACTTGTGGTGGTGACATTAATTTCACTATTATTAGCCTCTTCAGAAGGAATTCGGTTGCTGGTTGGACTTGATGATCTTAGAGGTCTTTTCCAACCTTAATGATTCTATGAATAAAGAAAGGGTCAAGTCAGTTATGTAGGGGTTTTATAATTTCATGGCTTGTTGCAGTTTTCCAGCATTGGAGATGCATCATCTTTCACCCATCTGGTAATCTCAGGCTCTTAACACTTAGTAAAATAATAAGCTGTGTTCCTCAAAGTTAGGTAAGGGGTAGCTTTACACTGATATCTATAGCTGGTCTGTACTTGGACAGAAGCTTTTTTCATGTCACAGTATTAATTGCTTAATGGTAAGTATGTGGCTGGTTAACCACAGGCTTTCCAGTGCTAGATATTTTTGTGTAGTTAAAATAGTAGTTTATTAAAAAAAAAAAAAAAGTTACAGTAAAATTGAAACACTTCCCACACTGGGGATGCGCTGCACTGATTGCCTGTCTATGGAAGCAGGCAAGCTGTTGGCAGGATGATGCCACTGCATCATCTTGAGATTTTGGTGCAAATCTCACCCAGCCCCATTTGGTAGCGGGGTCACTGTCAGCTTTCACATGTGAAGCACTATTTGAGCTTCTTCTTATCTGAGATGTGCTATTTTTGATTTGACATTTGGCCATATGGACGCTTTTTCATACAGTTTTGGGAAGCGTCTGACACAGCAGTTAGTTATAACACAGTTTGCCTGATTTCTGGTCATCTCCAGCTGCCTGCAAATCTTTAGCATTGAGTGCCTAGCGTTTTCTAAACTAAATCCTAGCTGTTCACCAAATGTTTCTGAAATGCAAAGAGATCCAAGAATAATAATGTGGATTCCATAACTTGGTGCTGTGTAGGAGCTGTGGTACAGGAAGCAAAATGTTGCCCCAGAAAGTGGGGAGAGAAATAAAAAATTTACTTCTCTGACTATTTGCAGACATTACTTTTATGCTTTCAGAAAGCCTTCTGGAGGAATTTCTGTAGCTGTGTAAAGTGGCCTTTGCTTTTCATAGTTAACCAATTGCATTGTTACCATCTGAAACCCAAATTCTTTCCTCCTGCACCAGATGCAGACCCACAGGCTATGAAACGTTGAAGCGTTTTACTAAGCGGTGCCTTGCTTTGAATGCAAACCAGGGCATATCCAGCCAGGTCATCGCTCCGAGTTGTTTACAGTCCCATGAGCTGTGGCGTTGCCTTGTGTGTTCACAGTACTTTCTGCTGCTTTATGCTTAACTCCTACACACACACACAAATCAAAGCTTCTGCTTGAAAGCGTTGTAGTTTGTGAAATAACTGCGGTCCTGCATGTAATACTGAAGGCACACTGAATTTGCCTCTCCAGAGGGTTCTGGCATGTTCGAACACCTGTGCAGTTGGAAATAAGGACCAAAGTGTTATTTCCCAACCATTCCTCCCTGCACAAGCCCCTCTACCCTGATACCGTGTGGTGACCATACTTAGAGGTAGCTACACACAATCTTAATTGCTGGCTGTGTTTAAGCAAACACATTTTGTTTTCAAGACTACGTTGGCTTGCCCAAGAGTCCTTACAGCCCCTTAAGAAATGCCTTGTGATGTTAAAGTCAAACCATCTTTTCCCCTTGTGCAGGTGACTTGATGAAGAGCGCTTCGGGGGAGTTTGCAGATGACCCCTGCTCCTCTGTGAAGCGAGGGAACATGGTCCGAGCAGCACGCGCCCTCCTCTCCGCCGTCACTCGACTGCTGATTTTGGCTGACATGGCGGATGTCTACAAGCTGCTTGTTCAACTTAAAGTCGTAAGTGTGGTTCTTTGCTGTGATTCACTTTGCTGTACCTGGCACGCCAGGCGTGCTCTTTCAAGTGGCTTTGTTTCATGCATGTGTGCTGACCCTGGTGTGTGCACTGTCAGCGGCTTGCTTCTGGAGCAGGGAGGTTTCCAGGGTTTTTCCTCTGAGCAAAACCTGGGCAATGGATGTTTGTCACTTGTTTTTACAGTCGTTGTCAGTAGCTTTTGACATTGTGCTGTGCTTTATTCTAAACTTTTAGTATTGAAACTAAATTCACTCTGGTCTGCAACTGCAGCTTTTTTCATCTTGAAGAGGTAATTTGGCTTTCTTATAACCAGCACTCCCTTTTAGCTACTAGGAATGAGTAGCTTTGGTAGACTAAATAAAATGAATGTGGAATATTTAAGGAAGCCTTTTCGTCCCACAGGCAAGAGGATGGGTGGGTGGTTTGTACAGAATTTGAAATGAAGTGCAATTCAATACTGAGCCCGCTTTTGCAGCAGGGCTTTTGAGGACTCTCCTGCCCTTTGATAGCCCCTGCCACAGCTCTGCCAGGGCCCTGGGCTCCTTCATACCCTTTCAAATGCATATACTTGGCTGCCTCTAGTAGGTGGTGACTATGAAGTAGTGTCTAAGCCTTGAGTACTATTAGCCTTTGAAGCATCTCTCTCCAAAAAATACAAGGCGGCAGAGGAAGATTGCTTTCTTTGTCTGCTATGAAGTATATTCTGAATTACTTCCTGAATTGTGGGCTGTATTACTTGGAAAAATATGTGAATATATATTCTTTTAGGTGGAAGAAGGTATCCTGAAACTAAGAAATGCTGGCACAGAGCAGGATTTGGGTATCCAGTACAAAGCCCTCAAACCAGAAGTGGACAAGCTTAACATAATGGCAGCCAAAAGACAACAGGTATAGTGATAGCAGCACTTTTGTCTGTATATTATTTCTTCTTTTTCAAAATAGGAAAATAAGGCAGCCTTGCTGATCTTGGACAGCACCCATTGCTGCTAGTACTTTTAAAAACTTTTTTATAATCGCTGAGTACTTTGTGTTGCACTCCACCGTGTTTAGGAAATTTGAGCTTGCCTGGTAAGCAGAAAGTCTACTCAGCTGTAGCATACTGCTTCTGATGAAATTTGTTCTAGTAGCATTTGTTTTTTTAATGCTTTGGTACCTTAGTGAAATGCTGCTTCCCAAGACTGGCACTTCCTGTTTCGAAGCAGTGCAGGTGTGAGTAAGGAATGCGAATTGAGATGTGACTCGGTCCCTGGTGCACTCACCACTAGACCACGCTGCCATTGTGGTTCGCACCTGACTGTGTCCATTTAAACAGGGAGCAAAAGTCATGGCTGGGCATGGAATTACAACTCTTTCCAAGAAAGTGAATGGCGATGCTGGTTAGTCTTGCACTGAAAAGCCAGTTTGAGAAGAGCTTTAAAATCCTTTTTGTTATGTGTATGTTCTGTGGTTGGATAGCTTATGCTTAACCTTAAATTGTGTGTAAGTTTTGTTTTGTTCAACAGCACTGCTGTGACTCATTCTTGTGTAGGTAAGTTTTGAAAAGAAAGTAGAGGTGTGGGCAGTCCCATTTATCAGAAATAGCATAATTCTTGTAGAACGTTTTTTGTTTGTTTGTTCTGCTGATATGTACAAACCAAAACTGCTTATGTACCTCTGACACTGCTTGGGTTTTTTGCACAGTTTCATCTTTGAAAATAAACTGGGTACGGTCTAAAGTGAATTGCCCATTGGTTATGTATCTAAAATCTGATTGCAGTAAATGGGAGTACGGTTGTGATGGCAATGCAATAAATGTTCGTAAACTGCTTTGTGATGGATTGTTCCACACTATGAGAACTGGTTGTACTAAATCTGTAAGCCTGCTTGGAGTGCCCTCCCTGCTTAGTGTGTATCTTACAGAGGTTGCATATTACCCATTCATTTAGAAGAGTCTGTCAGATTTTTTTTTCCCTTTTCTCAGTAAGGCAGTCAGCTTCTTCATTTTCATCACCTCTTCGTTAGATTTAAGAGGTAACTTTAAAATTATGATACTGCTAATCACTGTGTTTGTTCTTCCTTTTATAAACTTACTGCTCATGCTGGACTCAGAAGCCTTATCTAGTCATAGTGCATCTATTCCAAAACAGAGGTGATGGTGCTTTAGAGAATTGCAGCAGTGAGTGTTTGGGAAAAGATGTACGGACTTGCTGCTAATCTTAAATTAGCAGTAATTACAGTCATTGGATTAATTTTGTCTCATTGGAGATGAACAAGTTGTTGAATGAGATGATATACTTGTTCTTCTGAAATTAAGTACCTGAGTCTCTTGAGGGGAGTGAACTCCATCTCCTAGGTGTGATTAAAGAAAACATTCTGGTTGTGAGTCTTGGAGTTTAAATTGAAGATCTTGCTTCTCATGTGCAAGTGGAAGAGAAGATTGCAAGGGACACTTCTTATTCGTTTGATAGTTAAACATTAGCTTGGTTCTTAAGTTATCTAAAAATGTAAGGTATTCTGGAAGGAGTAGGGAGAAAAATGCATGGTTGCAATTTCTGTGTCCTCCTGATTCACAGGTGTTACCAGCTTTCAAAATGCTGGTCCTCTACTGTGGAGAGGAGCAAAACTGCAACCTCAGATTTTGAATTGTGGAGTTGTGAATTGCCCTACAGTCTTTTTTTTTTTTTTTTTTTTTTTTTTTTTTTTTTTTTTTTTTGTCTTTATGAATCTGTTATGTTTTGAACTTAGTTGAGTAGTTGAGCCCTTTAAGAATAGGGTTACTCAATCAGAAGATAGATTGGAACATATGAGGCAAAGAACCTGCCTCTCTTTTGAAGATGCAGGGAGACAGTGTATGGATTGTTACATGTGGGGAATGTTCTCAAATGCTTTTTTTCTTTAATTTTCCTAATAGGAATTGAAAGATGTGGGTCACCGTGATCAAATGGCAGCAGCCAGAGGAATTTTGCAGAAGAATGTTCCCATTCTTTATACGGCATCCCAGGCCTGTCTGCAGCACCCTGATGTAGCTGCTTACAAAGCCAACAGGGACTTGATCTACAAACAGCTTCAGCAGGCAGTCACAGGCATCTCAAATGCAGCTCAAGCAACTGCATCAGATGATGCTGCCCAGCAGCAGGGTGGAGGTGGAGAGCTGGCTTATGCTCTGAACAACTTTGATGTAAGTCTTGAACCCTTTATGTAAAGAAAAAAAAAAAAAAAAACCCAACAAACAAAAAAACCCCCGTAACTCCAACTCAGGTGTTTGTTCACCTGATTTACTAGCAACAGCTTGCTTTTATTTATATTGCCTGAAAGAGCATTTTCTACTGAAATACAGCAAGGTGAAGTAGGCTTTTATTTTTAAAAAAGTCTTTTTCCAAACTAGGATTGATTGAATATAGAAAGTTATATACGAAGTTCTTGGTGATTGAAGGCTGTCAACTTAAACTAGCTCTGAAATAGCAGTTAGCCTACTGCTACATTAGGTATAAGCCCTTGGTTTATTTGAAATTGATTATTTCATAATATATTTATGTAATGTATTCTTGTAGGTGACAGAAATGACTTATTAAAAGTGAATAATGTATTTGGAATTGCCCAAACTACCTATTGAGAGGAACATGAAGTGGGAAGTTTAATGTGATCTTTAGTTGGGAATGAAGTCATTTCACACTGATGTGTTGTACTGACCTGTCATATTCTTTATCTTGCATTCCGTAAGTTACTGAGGATAGCCATGCATTTTTACTGAGAACACTTCCCCTTTGAAGCCTGTATTCTGTGTCTACCACTGATTTGGTCTCTGAATTTTAAACACCTGAGTGCTGACTTAGCTCTAAAAGTTTATGTAATATTGCAAAGCTATCACGCAAAAGGTGTTTAATGCTTTTGTTTTTGCCAGCTATTGCTCACTTTCTCTTTCACTTTTTTCACTTTTTTCTTTTTACTCTTACCACTCTTGTTCCTCCTCTATGTTACTTTCCCTGCCATGTTTCTTTTACCAAAATAAACTACTATTTGAGTTCTCCTTGTGCCTGGTGTGAAGCCTTTCTATGTGCCCTCTTGGATAACAAGAGGATGTTGTGGTTGTCTTGATCTTTGTGACCGTAATTTCAATTTTACGGCTGCTTTTCTTAAATTCCATCTGTTGTGTGTTCAGCTACGTAAGTCTTAAGGATGCGCTTCAGGTTAGCCCCCAAGGGATTGCGAGTTTGAGCAGGTGTTTGTAGGAGGAGAAGGTGGGTCCAATAATAGCACAGAGCGTTAAGGACTGACTTGGGTATGTAGAATTGAAGAAATAAATTGGTTCAGGTTCATGGATTGGCTAATCTAGCTGAAACCATTTAATGTGATTTCTGAGGTATGGCCATATTTTACTATATGAACTGCCTAATACACAGCCAGAGACTTTTTTGAGTGTTGCAGTTCACATGGAGCTGTTGAGCTTTTCGTTCCACTTTGTGAGGCTCTCTCACAGCAGCGGGGCTTGTTTAGCAGGCCAGCTTCACTGTGCCTTGTGTGCGATAGCTTTGTCATCTCATTCCTGCCAAAGGAGACTGACAAAACAAATGTGTTCAGGTTCTCAGCAGATGTTATCCCTGCACTTCATTTCCTGTGAACGTTTCAGTATTATTGTGCTCTTGTAATAGAAGCTTTACACACACACTTCCCCAAATATTCCAGTGTTTTTACTGTGATGGTAAAATACTAAGTGGCTATCAGAAGATAACAAGATAATTAATCATTTTCTCTGCTTTTGCTGGTGCGGTTCTGGAGATGTAGTACACTACCATTATATTACCTGCACAGCTAAAAGTTTTGGGAAAAAAGAGGAGCGTGTTGGAGAACATGTACCATGTTCTAACCATGCTGCAAAGGCTGTGTGGTTACTCCATAGGGAGGCAAAACATGCTGGCTGGTGGGAGAAGCAGCGGTTGTGATGTTGCTGTTGAAGTTAGCTGGTGTACAAACTGATTGTGAAACGTCTCCTTTCAAAAAACTTTAAGGCTTCTTATAGAAAGAGTTAGCAACATCCTTTCCTCCCACCCCAGTAGTGGGAAGAAAACCCACCCAAAGCCTAAGCAAACCACCAAACCTCAGAACAGCCAAATAATTTTCCTTAATAAATTGCAAACCTGTTTAAATAAACCACCTGAAAGTATTCACGAGGTGACAAATACGACACTGATGCTTCCTGGTGAACTTCTGTGGGTGGTGATATTGGGCCCCTTGAAAACCAGATATGTCAGTATTGCTGTTTCAGTCTTAAGTCTCTCAGTATGAGCTATGCATACTAATACTCTGTCAAGATAAACCTGCAATAGTTTTCTGCCATGAAGAAAATTATTTCTGTGCTGTTTGAAACATTCGTGTTGAAGTTTCACTTTGAGAATTTTTGAGAATACTGTTGTATTTACCTGCATAACAGTGAAGGGAAGAAAGACTGGATAAACTAGGACAACAGAGCACTATATATAGAGCTAATTTGGATGTTTGTTTTACTTGATTTTTTTGTTCATGGTGGGATAATTATATCTGACAAGTTAACTAGTGAAGGCATGTCAGGATTGACGTGTAGTTAAGAAAAATTCTGTACTTTGAACCTTATTTGTGCTGGCACCTTTGATTTTTGCCATTCATGTAACAAGGTTTCCTGTGGCCAAGTTTTGTTTAGCTGTCAAAGCAGCACAAGAAATGACTAGCAGTGTAATATGCTGGGGAACCTTTTAGTAATTTTACAAAACTACTCATGAAAATCAACCTCAGTGCCAAAATTGTGTGGTGCTTGCCTTTTATGCCTGATCAGGGGTTTGCTGTAAATGTTGGTTGTCTTGATGACTTCACAGTAACTTACTGCTTGGTCTGATTACTAATTTCTAAAACCTTTATTTTACTAGAAACAAATTATTGTGGATCCATCGACCTTCAGTGAAGAACGTTTTAGGCCTTCCCTGGAAGAGCGCCTGGAGAGCATCATTAGTGGAGCAGCCCTGATGGCTGATTCATCCTGCACACGTGATGACCGACGGGAACGTATAGTTGCCGAGTGTAATGCAGTGCGACAGGCCTTGCAGGATCTACTTTCAGAATACATGGGGAATGTGAGTATCTTCTGTTCTGTTTGTTTAGTTTGTGTGTTTTTTAACTCCATGTGATTATCTAAAATGTGGAGCTGAAGCTGTGTGTCTTGAAACTGGTTTCTGTTCCTGAAGAGAATTTGGACATGAACAAGTAGCCCTGAAAGGTTTTGCAGGAAGCAGGATCAAACATACTTAAATCATCAATGATACTTATCTTAAAATTGATCTCTAGTCTTCCAAGCAACTATTATCATCTTGAAGTGGTAACCCTCTGGCACTGTTTTTATTTTATGATTGTTAATATTGGTTTGTATATAAACTCAATAGAATTAGTCTATTTTTCCACCTTGGTTTACATTAGGTAACTTGGCTTATGGAAAAAGTAGTACTGCTTCACTTCTGTTGAAGCTTGGAAGGTTTAGCTGTGTTGTCTTTTTAGCTAAAGGCATAGATTCTCAGAATCAAGTTGATTACTGTTGCTACTCAGTCTGAGTAGAGGTGACATACAAAGTAAAATATTTAGCAAGAAATCCTGAGAACAGTTTGATATAAGTATTGGACTCTGAGCAGTTTTCTTCCAGTGTTTAGGCATTTAATGTGCACACAGTATTTGAAGCCTGAGAGTGCTTGTGTGGTTGGAGTAAGTGTCATGTCATGCAGATGAGCTTCTGCATTTGAGGGCATCATGATATAATATCAGACTTCCCTCCTCTCCGTTGCCTATTTGTTCTTATCCCAGTGGGTTTTAATCTGAATAGCTCTTGCTGTGTTGAGAGATGAGGTTGGGATTTCATAAGATTTATACTGTGCCTAGTCTGTAAACTTAAATACTGTTAAAGTTGATTTCAAAAAGAAAGTTGCAGAAATGGCAGCAACTTAAGCAAACTACATGGCTTGTAGCATTGTGGTGAGTAAAATTGGCTGAAGAAGTCTTAATGGGAGGAGGTGAAGTCTTATTTATGCTTTAGAGCATATGTGATGTGAAACTTAGTTCAGAGATACCTTCTTTAGACAGTATAAATTTTTTTAGGAATATCACTCTATTATGTACTTTACCTTCAAATCTTTTAGTGAAAACTACTTCTGTGTAGAATAAAACTGGTCCAAAGGCTGCCACGTGTGGGTTAGTGTGGTGTAATTTGGCGAAGAGATGCAGTGTGTGGTAGAGAGAAAGTAAAACAAGGAAGAATTTATGTTTACCAAAGACAAGGACAAAGTAATTTGACAAAACTGAAAGCCAAGTTTTATATAGCCTGCAGGCTGAGCTAGGTACTTCATGTAGTCTGTCTTAATTGCTTGTGAAAGTAGCTTGCGCTCAGCGTTGACATATAGGGCTTAAGATTGCAGCTGAGAAGCAAGCTGCTAAGTTGTGCCATTTAAAATTCCTTTCAGAGCAGGGTGTTTTATTAGTATATGATGCATCTGTAATAATCCCTCAAACACATGTGCTGCTGGATTGGATGAAGCCCTATTGCCACAATTCAGAATATAACATCCACCAAATGCTAATTAAAAATGTGGAAGAGGGAAATGCTTGGTCTTGCACATAAGAGTTGGTGGCATTCGTTTCACTGAAAGTTGGTCAATACCTGTGTAAGATTGCAGAGCCTTGACTGCCTTTTGCAGAAATGCCTGTCCTCCTCCTCAGCTGTGTACTGTTGTCTCTGATATGCAAGTTAAAGTAATCACGCTGAGATGGGAAGAATGTATTCCCTCTGTTATCTCTTTTAACACATTGTGAAATTAGTGGAGCATACTGAATTTTTTAAAGTCACTGCTATGTTATGATTGTAGACAGTGTAGTTGGGGAAATGAGATTAGAAATTCAGTGAAATGGAGTGGAAAAAGCAATTGATAAATGATGGTGAAAATGTGGGATGGTGTGTAAAAATCTATACTGAGGGTAGGAAAAAAAACCCCTCAGTGATTAAGCTGAAGAATGAACAATAGTTGGGAATCTAAACAGTGAAAAAGGGTTGATACATCTGCAGGAAGAGTAAGGATGTGCTGACTTACAGTAGTGGTAGAAGAAATGTCATATCATGTATATGTATGACATATCCACGGCTACAGTACCCAGCCCAGCCTTGTGCTTTCTCCAGTCTCCCTTTGAAGAAAGAAATGAATCGGACATTAAATCTGTTAATTGCACAGCACTTGCAGTGCATCATAAATCTTATCTGAGTGCTGGAATAAGAGGCATTTATTGGCCAACTGTGAAAATTAAGAGAGAAGATTGGCTGAGGAATACACTGGAAAGGTTGCAGCAGGGGAATGTCTCGAGGCAGATTCTCTTTTGGTTTTAAAAGCCTTCTGTTTTAGTGACTTCCTCTAGCTTTTGGATTTTCTGTCAGATCTCTGGCAGTAAAAAGGCTGTTTCCTAGGTAGTTTATAACTCAGATTTAGTGTTTTGGACCCACGGTTTAACTGTCTCTCTGGGTCTGTCCCCAAGGGTCTGTAACTCTGCAAGCATTGCAGACTGTGTTATGATGTGTGGCAGAAGTTTCTAGCTGAGTAACAGTTTTCAGTAGATGAATTGTAGTATCTCTTGACCCCTGTTGCATCTGCTGGCATGGTGATGAAGCCTGGGATTATGCCACTAAAAGAAGGGCGAGGTTTGCTTGTGCAGTAATTTGTTACAGCAGCTGGTATCCCCCTTTCTTAGATTGGAGTGCATTTTATTTCCTTTTCCATCTAGCACACCTGTCTTCCATTTTTAAGACTACTCCAACTTGGTCAGAGTGAATTTTGTACATCAAGGCCAGCATCCTGTCTTGACAGTGGTCAGTAGTGGATCCTACAAGAAAGAGGACAGTAACAAGGGAGATGTGTAGTTTTACTTACCCAAAGTGCTGGCAGTCTGCAGCTCAGGTACTTCCAGAGCTAATGTTGCTGACTGTGTTTAATGGCTCTTGATGGACTTCTCCCCAGTGAATCAGTATAGTTTTATCTGTAGTTTATAAAGATTCTTTCTGAATCTTTATAAACTACAGCATCCACAATCTTTGTTAGCAGGCAGTTCTCCTACTTAAATAAGTGCTGTGTGAAGAAATATCTCCTTTTGTTTTGAAGCAGAACAACCTTCTGCCTGTTCTGTTGGTTGTTTCCTCCATCTTGTTGAGGAAAAGACCCTGAGCAGTTACTCCTTGCTCATCCTTTTCTATACCACTCTGTGTTGTTCCCGAGCCATATCGTGTAAGAGACTTTGGTCCTATCTTCCCCAGAATGAAGTGTCCTTGTTTTATTAGGTGCTTGCCATAAACAAGATACTCAACACCACCTCTCAGCTCTTGTTATTGAACAGCATGGTGGATTGTGATGGGATTTGTAGAGTGAATTAGGACTCGATGCCTGTGCTTATCTGTGTTTCACAGAAGTTTGCATCATCTGCTTTTAGCCTAGTCCTGTAAACTGGGTGCTAGTTAGCATTTGGTGCGGTAGTGGTGCTCTCCTTATTTAGATTTACTTGGAGAATCCAGCTCATGTGGCCCAAGAGGGCTCTGAGATGAGAATCACAGTGCATGAAGCAGCAGGGATTGGGTGGTGAGTTTCAAAATTGCACTTATTCTGAGCCAAAATGCTGGTGTAGATGCATTCCACAATTTCCTCCTGTGCTTTGTCTGGATCTTCAGCTTCCCTTTGAGATCTGAGGACTGGAGCTGTCTGCTGTCCAGGATTCAGGCAGTGGCATGGTATCTTCAGGTGTTGTTCTTTAGTCTAAGCATGCTTAACACTTGATTTCCTTACTGATAGCTGATGCGCCCTGAGGTGGTATCTTGATGAAACTGCTTCCATCAAGATTTTGCCTCCGAGTTGTAGTGGTAGGAGTCTGTTTCTGTGAATGCTGAGTTAGGTGGTCTTTCCGTTGTGCTTCACTTAGTACCTATGCCCACTGAACTTCATCTGCCTTTATTACCTAGCTTCTTGGTTTATAAGCCATATTCCTTAAAATGCCAGCAGTTCATCCCTTAGTTGCAGCATCTGCTTTTTTAGCCTTTTCCCCTCATCTTCCACTTCGCGTAGGGAGAACTGGTTTCTATTATGGCTTTTACTCACTTCTCACAATTCCAACAGAAAATAGTTTTCCTCTTTAAACTCGCATTGCAGAACCCTCCTGGACTAAAATAGAAAACATGATTGTCTATAGGCATGTGATTTTTATTAGTTGGAGTAAGCTTTATTCTTATTGCTAGTGCTGAATGATAGAGCAAGAATGGGAAGGCCTAACAAAATTCATTATTGATTCTGACTGGCGTTGTAAAAGCATTGTACTACTAAGTACAACATCTTGGATCTGGGATCAACTGCCTGGAACGCAATAAATTGACTACATCAGTCATAGCTAAGTTAATAATATAATTAATTGATGGCAAGATTTAGCTCTTTGTGTGATGTTTGATTCAGGCATTCTTGGTATGTGTTTTATTAATTAAATTAAAACATTTCAAAGCATATTTGAGTTTAGTTAGATATTGATACCAGACTTAGGCAGGGGAAGAGGACAGAACAAATCATCTACTTGAATTATGTTCAAGATTAATAGTATGCCAGTTAAGAATTTAGTTAAGAAAGCCAGAATCCCGAGTGCAGCAATACAACAAAATACAACAGGAACAGTCTTATAGAGTTAGACACAAAATCTTGTGTGGGGAGACTGGCTGCAGTTTGCTCCAAATAAAAAGCATGAAGCCGAATATTTCTTGACACTACTACTACCAATTTATCCCAGTGTTGCCTTTGTACCAGCAGCTGGTGTGAGACCTCTCCCAGTGTAGAAAGCAGGTACAATTCTTGTCAATGTCTCTTTCTGTACTGTACTAGTCAACTCTGCCTCAAATTTATACGCATAGTTTTTATTGCAGTTACATTATCTAAACTACTTAAACTGAATGCATAAAAAAGAACAGCGAGCTGATAGAGCTGGAATATTTCTGCATTTCTGAGAAGCTGTTATGTAGAATGGAGAGGTAAGAAAGTGTGTCTATGGACACAAAAATCCACAAACCTTAAGTTGTGACAGGGTACGAGCTCTGTGCTGTAATTCTCCAGGGTGTTATTAGCACAGAACTTGGGCAGCTTGCCTTGATTTTAGCTGCTGTGTTAAATATGGTAAACATAGGAGTTTGTGGGTTTTGTGGGTGGGGTTTTGAAGTTGGGATTTAGTGGGTTAGAAAGTGCAGGCCATCTGCTGGCAACTTAACCAGAAGTTTCCAGTCTGCTCTCAGTTTGACTACATTGAACTTACAGAAGACATCAGTTACCCGATTGATGTGTAAGACTGGAAATAAAAACTTCCTTAAGCTTTTGACAGTCCATTTTTATTGCTTGATGCAAGTGCCCAGAGGGATGAGGACAGTTCAGCTCCTTTCCCTAAGTGCTGTTTTAGAGCTGTTCAGCAGCACTGATCAGAGATGTCCAGTTCAATTTAGTATGCACAGATACCTGCAGAGAGCTCTCATTTTAAGTCTGATCGGTACCCCATCAATTTCTAGTGGATATAGCTACCCCTTCAACTAGCATAAACTTTGTCAGAAATTCTAGTTTGGCTAGCATGGAATGCGAACCCAGAGCCCCATTGTGTACAACATGCTCTTGTACAATAAAATCCCTTGTTCCTACATTTGGAAACGATAAATCATGTTACATAAAATAGCTTGACAGGTCTTATTTCAATGTGAATTTTAATGCTTTCATATTAACATTCTGACTGTGTCCTTGACTGTCTGGATTGCTTTAGAGGTGCTTGGCAGCAAATGGAAAGAATCCATTGGGGGCTGGTTCCAGAGCAGGTGTTCCAGGCATAGATATTTTCATCTGATTCCCCCCCTGCCAGTTTCCATCTTCTGTTTGGCCTCAAGTGGCTCAGTACCATAGCTGGGTGTGTTTGGAGGTGGGGGCTGTATTTCTCTTAATGTTAGATTTTAATCTAATTTAAAATTGTATAGCACAACTGGAAGGTAAGTGAGGTGGTTGAACCCCAGGTTGCTGCACTGCATTACTGAGAAGGAACTCTTGCATGCTGGCCGATGTGGTTTGGCTCTCAGGATACCTGAAGTAGGTCTCAACACTTCTGGTTTTAGACTTGGTGGTCTCATAACTTGCTAAATGCTTGTTTTGCACCCTGCTTCTGTATTTAGTGCACTTATGGAAATACACTACTCCAAACAAGTACTGTTTCCTTGATTTTAATTGCGCTGTTTTGCTTTTCTTCCTTAAGCTTCTATGAGCATCTCTGATGCTTGAAAATGAATGGGCAAGAAAGTGCCTAGCTTATCTATTCAGTATCTTTTGGGAGAATTAATTTTGTTTTCAGAACTACCAGTGAAGGGTATTTATACTCCTGACACACTTGTGATTTACAGAATGGAGATGTGTTTTCAGTTTAAATTTGCCTATTAATAATGTTGATCCAGAACTTCATATTTGTATCAAAAATTCAAACTTTGAAAGGAACGTGTGTGAATTTTCACATGACTGTAAAACTTACTTACAGCAAGTATCTATATATTTGAAAGGGCTCTTGCATAGCCCTTTTAATGAAAGCAACTGCTTCTGTGGAAATAGATGTGAATTAAAATGGCAGACTGATCCATATTTATGATAAAGATGCTGATAAAAATTCTGCCTTGAGATAATCTACACTTTCTTTTTTAATATTGTTTCTGTCAGTTTAAGATGCTTGAATGCTGGCATGATGGACGTGGTTTGAAAACTTGGATGGATTTTCCTGTCATGGACTTTGCCATTCAGTAGAGAGAGCTATGCTGTTATGCTGGGCTCTAATTTCCATAGACATTCAGTTTGACAAAGATGCTGCTTTTAAAAACAAAACATTTCAGAAGTGGTACAGTTTTTAAGTTTAATGCTTACAGGCTGACATAGAGTAAATAATTCAGCTTACTTGGAGTGAAGCCTGATGAAGATGATGAGAATTTCACACTGCATCAGTCAGGTATTTTCAGTCCACAGGAATGAGCTTCCAGGTTGCTTACCCAACATCATCCTGGTGTGGACTTAGTGTGGGGTATGTTTTCAGAAGACATTCTGGGAACTTTTTATTTCTTGGGCAGTAATACAGGGGGCTATGGAAATAAATGTAAGTTAGCTCATACAAAGCTTCATCAGCCTTGTGAGCTTTGAGTTTTAAAGCTCTTCAGAGCTCGCTACCATCTCAGTGGTTATTCTGAGCTCGTACCGACACGCATGTGGAAGTACTGGTTTAGTGATCCCAAACAACTGCTGTGATGAGTGTGCTCAGCCTCAGAGGGGAGGGAGGGCAGCACATCTGGGCAGCCCTTGGGTATTTGTCAAGCTGGTGGTAAACAGCAGTGCAGCCAGCCTCTGCTGAGGCTGCCAGTTCATTTAAGCAAGTGGCACAATTTGAAAGTCCTGAATACGTTTTCAGGCCCAAGGCAGCCTTTGTGCTATGCGGTGAGAATGCATTTCTTAAAGAAGCATGTGGCTGGCTTAATGCCCGCTTAGAGAAACCCAACAAAGCCCAACTTGCACCTGAAGTCTAGTTCCAGCATGGGCTTTTCAGTTTATTGAAATGTTAAATCTTAAATCATTGCTCTTCTCTATCCACTACTTGCTTTTTCGGTGCAAAATTGCTAGTAATAACTCTTCAATTGAATAGATTTGACAGTAGCTGGGACTTAATCTAAATTGCCTTGTGCAGCAGTACTCAACCTCACAGTCTTTCCACACTTTTCAGTATTTTTGTTGTAGACTCTTAATATATGTACAAGAAGGAAGGTTGCTGCCCTCACTTACCATGCTTGCTCCATGTGTATGCAGCAGAATTGAATTTCTGAACTTGAGAATTGAGTCCTGTAGATACCCTGAGTAGCAGAGAAGGCTTCCATCCTACCTGATTCCTCTTTTCTTTCTTCATCCCTTCAGGTTTGTATTGATGAAACACCTGTTTTTCCTTTCTTGCTAGATGTGTGCTATCTCCAATTTTAACACATATCTAATATCTTTTAATATTACATTATAAATCCAGATCTTTCTTAATCTAATGTTGGTCAACTGACATTTAGGATTGATGGAAGTAAGAAATGAAATCATAAGCAGTGCATACTTGTTTTTGATATGGCAGTTGACATTTAGCAGCATTTTATTTTTGTTGAGATGTAAACCATTTTACATAAATATGCCATAATGCTATGCATGGATTCTGCTTTAAAATTCTGTGTTTTGTGACTTAATTCATTTGAATCCTACTGTTTTGTAGGAAAATATTTGCACTCTATCTGCCTACTTAAGATTATATATTTAGTCACCCCTAATGAAGCTTCATTTGGTGACACTTGAGTACTCTCTCAAATCCAGAATTGAGGAGTATGGATGGAACAGAGCATGGAAGTTTGCACAGTGACTACTGATCTGTGGATAAACAGTCTTTTAGCCTCCAGCAGGATGATGCTTTCAGTGTGCAGAAGTATTACACACACAACTGGGCTTTTGAATTTCTCTTGTTGAAGGAAAGGGATGATGGAATTAGTACAAAGTTGGAATACTGCAATTCTTGCATTACAAGAAAATACTTGCATCTCAAGTCTTGGGCTTCCTCGTTTTTCTTGAGCCTTGATCTAATCCACACCTTGGATTAAGTTCCTGTCTTTCTACAAGATGAGATGCAGAAGATAATACAGTGAGAGAATGAGGATGGTCACTGTACACACATAGCTCTCTGTTATTGTCTGGTACTGCTAATATCCCCTCCAGTTCTCTGCTAATATGCAAAACCTGTATTGTTCTATTATTTATTTTTCTTTTTAGTATCTCTTCACCTTTTTTATAGATCCAAATTGAAGTAATAGAAGTCTTTCGTGACAGGAACCCAGAGTTTCTATTCTAGATGTAGTGTTTTAACATCTAGACTGTGCTCTTTGCTTCACTTGTTTTATCCTGTGTAAGAAAGCTGATGTTCTGTGATGTTCATAATGTGTCCTGGAGCTTTAGACCTACTTTGTCCCAGAAAGTCAAATGAATCAATACAGAATAATTAGCGTTTGTGGCTTATCCAAGTAGTGGCAGTCCTCTTGAATGTAAATAGAGGCGGAAGAGTGACTCAATCCTCCTCATGTCTGAGGAAAGGATGAGAGGTAAGCTGTGTATTGGAAGGCTGTTGAAATACAGGAGAAAATTCTAGCTTC